TTCAGATAATTTTTTTTTTCTAAGTCCTTTCAGATAATTTTTTTTTTCTAAGTCCAAATTTTCTGAAACCTTTTCAATTAAGACAGACAAGTTATTTATGCATGCTGTATTATCCCAAAGCCAACATTCGAATGAATGAGGCTCACTTGAATATTTCACAACGAGAAAATTTTATTGGGGCAAAGTTAAATATTTTAACTAAGTCCCAGTAATTTTTTCTCGTTGTGAAAATTTCAACGTGGACTTGATTTCATTCGAGTGTTGACTTTGGGAATTGGTGTGAGGGAACACTAAAAACATAAAAAAGTTTCAACGCTGAACAGAAAAGAGAAATTGACCTGGGACTTAGGGGGTTTTTTTTAGGCTCCCACCCTCCCCCTCCCTTCCTCCTCCTCCTCCTTTTTTCTCCCTTTTTTTTTTTTTTTTCCGCTTTTTTTCACATTTTTTTTCCTTTTTTGGTGTTTTTTTCGCATGTTGTGGTTTTTGGGTAGATTTTGGGTTCGGCATGCATCTTCCGCAATGTGTCTCTCTGCGTGTAACCTCTCGCATCATGGACCTCAGGTTGACCATCACTTGGTGTGTTCGTTTCAGGACCCTTTGCGCTCGCCAACAGCCATTCACCAGCACTGCTCCATTTTTTCTGCTTCAGAGTTCCTCGTCGTCGCCTTCAGCCGGACTCGATCCGTCTCACCTTGTGCCTGCCTCCAGAGCGATTTCACCGAGTATGCGGTCCCTTAAACCACTCGGCTATTTAAGTTATTGATGATAAAAGTTATTTTTATTCCTATATTGTATTAATATTGAATTTTAATAAAGAATATGTATCATACACATCTCTCTTATTCATCATCTGCCTCTACCCCTCTCTTTCCCCAGTGCTTCCTCTTTTTTTTTTTTCTTTTTTTTTTTCTCTTTATGTATCTCTCTTACAGTCAAGTACGAAACTTGAGTTTTTTGTTTTTCAGAAATATTCTAAGTGTCAAGGTCGAAATGCGACACCTGAATTTAATATTTTGAACTAATATTTGATAATTATGAAAAACTATACATTCGATTTTTGGAATTTTTGCCTCTTCTGGAATCGAACCGAGACACGCTGAGCAACGTAGTGGTCACTTAACGATCTCGGCCAATTGGTTTTACGAAACCGTTGTCTTTTGTAAAAATATAAAGTGTTATTTTCAACTGAAAGATATAAGTTTCCTAAAAATGTTGTGTACGAAATGTGCGAATGGCCGAGGTCGTAAAGATACGGTTTAGGCCAGAATATCAATTAGAGGTTTGCCAGTTCGAACCCCATTTAACTGAAAAAATATTTTGGAACCAATAATTTTTCAAACTGTGTAAATAAATAAGACATATAGATAGAATTAAATTTATTGAGTGTCAGTATTACAAAAATCGACATAAATATATATATATATATATATATATACATATATATATATATATATATATATATATAATAAATATATATATACGATATATATATATATATATATATATATAAAAGATAAGAAATAGTAGGAGGAAAATTTTTGATAATTTATATTTACGCCTGGTTAACAGTAACCAAACCTACTTCGGTGTAATTTAAAAATCTTATTATTTTTCCGATGAATTAACAGTCTATCAGGAGCAGCCAAAATTGGCCAAAATCGTGACTTTCAAATGCAATTTTAAGGCACTTAATGAATGAAATTAATAATTTTAATTAATGCTTTGTGTAGACTAAAGTACAATCTTTATACCAACCAAAAAAAATAAATTTATCATCGTCTTCATAGTTAAAATCAGCTTCAAAGTTGGCAATTTTCAAACTTCAATTTGGTACCAAGGGCAGAAGAATTTTTTTTTCCAAAAACTGATTTCATATTCGGTATCAGCGCCTCGAAAACTATCAGAATCGGTCAAAACATTTTGAAAATCGCGAAAAAAAGTTTTCATTTCATTAGTAAAATTTTGATTTTGCAACCAAAGATTTCGATTTTTCGAGGGGTGTATGTGGATTTATCCAAAAACGGATAACATTTTCGAATTCAGCGATTCAAAATTTATCAAAACCAATCAAAATATTCTGAAAATCGCGAAAAAAGTCGATTTTTTTTACAAAAAACTCGATTTTGCAACCAAAGTTTTTGATTTTTGCGGGGTGTATGTGGATTTATCCAAACGGATAACATTTTTGAATCAGCGTCCCAAAATCTTTTGGAATCAGTAAAACATTTTGAAATTGCGAAAACAAATCCATTTTTTTTTGCTAAAATTGCGATGTTGCAACCAAAGTTTTTGTTTGTACACGCCCTGAAAGCTCGTCAAACAGGATAATTTCGTCCTTTTCATCAAAAAGACTTTGTCCAATTAGTTGTTGATTTATTTTCCTTCTACTATAGGGGAGACCCAGGTTGAAAGGTTCTTAAAGGCATCCTTATGAGTCATACCAGGCACTGTAATAAGAATCAAAATTTATCTATATTTATCTTATTACAAATTTATTTATATCTAAAGATATCATCTAAAATAGGATTATATGTTACTTATACTGTACTAGTAACATAAATATTTATAAGTATCGAATAATATATCATTTATATAATCGAATAACTTTATATCATTTCAAAGTAATGCGTGGATATAGTCCATAGATTCACTTCAAATTCAATTTTAAAATACATCATTTATCATAATCAATATTAGGTATCATTTTCAAATTGAGTAGAATGTGTTTAAAAAAAGCAGGAATAGTCTTTGGTTTTAATATGGTTTAGTAATTATAAATCTAAATTTTATCTATTTTTTACTTATATAAATAAATTAAAATGCCTAGAACAAAATTTTCAAGTTGGTTGATAAAATGTACACATACACAAATTCGCGTTCAGTTAAAAATTATACGAAATTTTAGTACTTAGTAAATTTGATATAGTTTTTACTAATGTAAACAAATTAACGTGCCCGAAAAGAAAATTAAAAGTTATTTGAAGAAAAGTTAAAAAAAAAGTCCCAAATCTACATATTACGTTTAAATTTGCGTTTCAACTGAAAATTATTCAAAAATTTGATATACAAGTATATAAAACAATTGATACTATTTGATAGTAAATTGTATCTAGTTTATACTAGTATGAACAAATAAATATGTTCTGAACATAGTTTTGAAGTTATTTGACAAAATGCAAAAAAACGTCCAAGATCCACACATAGCCTTTTATTGAACTCAAATCTGCGCTTCAACCACGAATTATTCAAAATTTCATTATCAAAGTGCATAAAACAATTTATACTGAATTTTAGTAAATTTTATCTAGTTTATACTGAAATAAACAAATAAAAGTGTCCAGAATAAAATTTCCAAAATATTTGGCAAAATGTAAAAAAAATGCCCAAACTCGCTTATTGATTGCAAAAGTTTTTCAAGTTAAGTAAAATGTGTTTGATAAAATCCATGGATAGTCAAATAAAATAAATAAATTAGTCCATGGATTCAATATGGTTCATAATTAAAACATAAATGTACTGTTAGCTCGCTAAAATCATTATTCTGCTTTCAAATGATATTTTAAAGTATTCAAATATTTAAAAAAAATTGTTGGTAATTTAATTTTGTGCAAATTTCTTAAATATTTCATTAATATCTTACACAAACAAATAAGTTTTATTTTATCAATTAAATTAATTAATCAATTTAATTAAAAATGACACTTGTGATTCAAAATAAAAACGATTACTTAAAAAGAGCATTTTGACCCATTTTTATTATGTAAATATTTAATTATTTATAACAACTGCACATTTAATAAATATTATTCACGACAATTAATACACGAATATTTGTTTTCAAAGAAAACATTCAAAAACGTATTTTCTTGTATAAAAAACACATCATTTGTTTGAACAGTGAAACAAAGTATATATTCCTCTTCGTTTTGAAAAAGTAAGAAAAAAAGAACTAAATCTGACCTGTTCTACTTGATTATTTTAAAGATATTATCCACGGATTTTTTCACCAAGTTTTTGTGTTTTTATTTTCAAATAAAATATTTAATAATTAACACATTTGAAAACACATCTGAGAATAAACCTGTCACAACGGACATTTTTAACCTGAAAACAACTGTCAAGTTTGACGTTTGACTTTGACATTTGACGTTTAACCTTAAACAATATAACTCAATTTTGACGTTTAATGTACCAAATTCATGTATCAATCATTATTTTGGACCTTAATAAATATCACAAATTTAACAAATATTTGTTTAGAATTATGCCCAACAGTTTGCCAAAATATTTATAAATACATAAACATGAATCACTTTGTCTTAAAATTAAAATATAAAACATTTGTTTGGTACTTACCTAGAACATATTTTCACACAAAACACACTTTAACTTTAAATCTATTTAAATATACAACATGGACAATTATTATTATGATAAAGATACTTGTTGAACCAAGTCTCAGACAGAACTGACTGTTGATTTATTTTAAAAATATTTACAACACAAAATAAACATAGAGCATAGAACATATATTTATATAGACTGGTAACACAGTGTTTAGTATCAACATTTTAGCAGCAGTTTAGTTTAGCATAGTTTTCTTTCTTTATATAATTATTATCTGGATTGTTTTTATCAATTATATACATGTAAAATTGAATAATAAAACAATATTTGTAAATTTCAATACGCACATAAATTTATTTCATCCAAATTACATAATTGAAATGTTATAGATTTCTAAATGTGATAAATTACAAAGACTTAATTTTTTAAATTTTAACATTTTAAAAAAAAATTAAGACAATATAAAATACATATATAAACAGAATAGAAATTTATTAAAGTTCAAATAATACAATTTACTTCATATATAATAAATAATTTCACAAAGTTTCAGAAAAGTTTTTTTAACGATAAGTTTGTAGATTTCATATTATTTTCAACAATACATTTCATGCAAACAAGAGACTTTTCTTCTATTTTTGCCAAATATTAAACAAATCTTCAAAAGTTATAAAAAAATAATATACATCTTGTAAAAGACTAACTAGATTTTATAATATATACATAACAGTTATATTATTTCATCGCTGGCAGGTGTTTTATCGAAAAAGTCTGAAAAAGAAAAAAAACGTATATAAGTTAAATATAATTAGAAATTACGAGCCATTTTTTAGTTTAAATTATTCAACAGTAAAATAAAATTATATGTATGTATATGACAAAAATTTTATAAATATTTTATTAATTAACAGCATGTAAATAAATCCTATACAAATGTGTAAAAAAATAAAATTCAAAAAAAAAAAAAAATGGAGCAATTTTTGGATAGTAAATTAATGAACAATTATAAAATATATATATATATATATATATATATATATATATATATATAACTCATGGATTTATTTTCCTCTCAATTTAATTAATTAAATTACATGTTATAAATTAAAATTACAAATCTAAAAATAAATGAAGAAAGTTCATACGTCAGTTCCTTTGAGAAAACTTATGTTGCTTTGTAATCTGAATTATAGGATTACCAGAACCGTATTCATTAGATTTTTCAAAATTTATAATAAAATATATAACATTTATAAAAAATTTGTAAAATATTTTAATTATATTAAACAAACCGTTTAAAAGTTACAAGAGATATAATAAATAAATGCACAATAACCAAAAATGATCTTGCGTGATAAAATATTATTTAGAGTATACTGAGTTGCTTTAGGGCTTTACAAGAACAAATCGTGTATTATTTAATTTTAAACAAATTTGTCTCTTACACCATTCATATTAATCGAATGGTTTAGGATCTAGAAACGGTATAAGACAAATGTGCACTCATAGTAACTTTCTGGTTTCAAATGCAATTTTAAAGTATACCGAGATGCTGTAGACTATTATAATATTAAACAATAAGTTTATATATATAGTTCAATTCATTTTGTACAAATTTGTCGAAGATTTTATATATTTAGTACAAACCGTTTAGAAGTTACAGGAGATACAATGAATAAATGCATGAACACACAAATGAACTTTTAACGCTTTAAGACTGATTTTAAAACATATAAAATTGTTGTAGGATTTTATAATGTTAGAAAATATTATATATTATTTAATTCTGAACAAATTTGTCGAATACACCATTCATATTAATCAAATAGATTAAAAGTCTCAATTGCATAACGGATATTTAAAGGATTTTTTTTACCAAAAGAAGACTCTCAAGATCTACAACAATTATACTATTTGAATCTTATTACATTTTTTTTTCTTTAAGTTATTGTATTAGATATTACTAATGTTAGGCTTAATATTATTTAATAGTTGTATTTTACTGTAATTAATTCAATTAAGATAATTTATTTTCTGTTAGGTAGAAATATATCATTAACTTTTTAATATTTAATCATAATTTTAAAGTATACCGAGTTGTTCAAGGTTGTACTCTTATTAATAAAATAAAATTATTAAATTCTGTTAAAAATTGCCTCAGATCCCATACAAATTAATAGAATAATTTACGATTCATAAACGAAGCAAAAAATAAATGCATGTGAATTGTTTTTCTATTTTCAATTGCTATTTTAAAGTATACGGAGTTGCTGTAGGTCGTTATAATATTAGACAATATTGTTTTGTATTTAATTTTGTACAAATTTGCCAAATATACTATTTATATACCGCGAGTAGTTTAAAAGTTATAAACAATTTAGTGAGTGTAAATGTACTTTACATATTTGTATACCCCAACGCGCCAAGAATATTTTTCAAGTTTTATTTTAGATGAGTACACCGAGTTGATGTAGGGTCTTTTGTTATTAGACAATGTAATAGGGTATTTAATTTTGTATAAATTCTTCTTAAAAACTTCTTAAAAATACCCTATTAAGTTTCATCAAATACTTTAAAAGTTATCCAATATGTAATGAATGAATGTAACTCTAGGTGTAGATGATTATATTTCGTATAAGGCGAGAATATTGTCTATTTTATAATGCGTTTTAAGGGTATACCGAGTTGCTGTAGGGTTATATATTGTTAGACAATATTGTTGTTTATTTAATTTTGAACAATTTTACTATATATTAGGTTGTCCAATATCTCCCTTCCGCTTTTTTGCTCTTGGTTTATAATACAAAAAGGCGGGAGGGAGATATTTCACAACCTTATACATAATTTATCAAGTGAATATTTTAAAAGTTACAAGAGATGCACTAAATAAATGCACAATTGAGTCAAGAATCAAGTGGTATTGGGTCAAACATAAATATGTATATTATATTATATATATATATATATATATATATATATCATTTATTTAAACTATTTATGATTCGTTCCATCGGCATTCAATTCTGAGTCACTCTCTGCCAAGTAAAATTATTCTCAACAAAATCGCATTAGGAAACCTTATATTTTCTTTGCCGAAGTTATAAAACATGTGTCGAATATTCTGCGACTGATTATTTATTATTATCAACTATATAGTGATACAACAACGAAAAAAAAATAAATAAACAAAATTTTAATAAAAATTAAAAAATAGTCTATTAATTCGCCATGGCGAATTTTCGAGTTTTCAAAAAGTCTTCGCCCAATTCCAAAGTCACCCTTTATATGGGCAAGAGGGATTTTGTCGATAATATTTCTTTTGTAGAACCTGTCGGTAAGTGAAAAAAATAATATGATATATTAGTATTGACCCATTGTGCTTTTTTGTAGTAAGGCGAATTGAATCGCGAGTCAATTTGTGCATTTATTTATTATATCTCTTGTAACTTCTAAACCATTTCATTAAAATAAGTGATATGTTCTACAAATTTATATAAAATTCTCAATAATCTCATAAATAGCCATTTGTAAACGCTAATATTAATATTAATATTTTTATTATTATTTTCTTATTATTTCTAATATTGTTATGTTTATTAATATCCGTCACTTATTGTTTTTATTCCACTTTGTTTTTCAAGTATTATTTTTATTATTCAGAAATTTTATTTATTTCATTTATTAATTTTATTATTATTATTATTTGCTTTTATTAACTTTTCGTAGGGTAGGGTAGTTAGAGTAATGGGCCAAAAATTGAAAATGAAAATTTTTGCATTTCTTGACGTTTTGAAGGTTTCTGAACATTTTGGCATACCTCAGAAAAAATGTGTGTGTGTGTTATTTTGTGTGTTTTGTATGTCCACATTATTCGGCCACGTTTTCGGGCGCACGGATCAACCGATTTGAATGGTTCAAAAAACATTCGATCCCTATTGATAGGGAGATGTGCTGACTAGTTTTTAGCAAAGGCAGGTCAAGCAGTTACGTAGATAAAGAGCAACGAGTGCAGAAAATAGAAATCGAGTTTTTGAGAGAACGGAGTATCGGATTTGAATGATCTAAGAAAACATTCAATTTGTAATGATTGTGGAGAGGAGGTGATTAGTTTTTGGCAAAGACAGGTCGCGCCATTTCGAAGATACTGAGCTAAATGTGCAAAAATGCCAGTTTTTGAGTGAACTAAGCGTCGGATTTGAATGATCTAAAAAACTTTCTGTTTGTATTGACAAAACAATTGCTTTTGAGGATAAAAAAAATTGTACATCTTTTTTTATTTTCCATAAAATATTTTCATAATTTTGGATTAAAAACTCAAAAAATTACCCAGTCTAAGCGCCACTCTGGTACAAATGTTTTCCCAAGTGCGTTTAGACTGTATAGGTAACTGGAGCACGTTTCCAATTTTATTAAAGAAAAAAAAACTATTGAAAAATGTGAAGATGCCGCCAAAATAAGTACAGTATATGTGAAAATGTCACACAGAATTATTGGCAAATGCGTTTAGACTGTGACTATGCGGGAGCACTTTTTAAAATTTTGTGTAAATTTGTGTAGGCAACTATTGTTTTTTTAAATTGAATTCGAAATGAAGTGACGATTGTTAATGTAATAATTGATTTATGATTTATATTTGATTTGCTCAGATATAACAATATAGCAAAAGTAATGAAAGTTACAGTATTTGTAATGTTATATTTGAAAACGTTTAAAATTTCTCGAACATTTCGTTACGGTAAGAGAAGTTCCGTCAATTTGCCTTAAGGCACGATGCCATACACGTCTAGTTATATTTATTTTTTCCTATAATTTATTTCTAAAATGTTTTTTAATTTTTTACCCAGATGGTGTAGTCGTTTTGAGTGATGACTACATCAGGGACCGAAAAGTCTTCGGCCAGGTAATATGCAGTTTTCGTTATGGTCGCGAAGAGGACGAAGTCATGGGTTTAAATTTCCAGAAGGAACTCATATTGACCTCACAGCAGATCAACCCAATTTCGGAAAAACATGATACAACGAAAATGCAGGCAAATAACCAAAAAAATAATAATAGAAATATATAAATATTGAGGACAAATCTTGGATAAAATAGCAATGCTATGAGGAGCTGAGTTACGGGTCTCTCTTAAGGGACACACCTAGTGTGAAATTTTCAGAAAATCGAATTTTCAATTTTTTCATATTTCGATAGGTTATACCTTTAAAAATAACATACCAAAATTTTAAATCGATATCTTAAATAGTTTTTTAGTCACAGCCATTTGAAGAGTATATATATAGTATATAGTATAACGATAATTTTATCTTTAAACGCGTTTTCCTCGAAACAGCATTTTCCGAATTTGCTGCAGCGATTACTCAAAAACAAATGATTCGATCACTATCGATTTTTTTTACACGTTCTATATATAGTTCTCCGTAAAATGAACTATCGATTTTTTGATCAGATCAAAAATCGAATTTTGGCAGTCCAAAAACGATCAAAATTTTGGGTAAAATTCGACTTTTTTTAAAAAACGCCGCCATTTAGTCAATTTTTGATTTTTTTATCGTAGGTCATTTTACAGACCATATTATCTAGTTTAACGAGATTTTTCTTTATTTAATTTTATCCACGTAGAAGGCCGGAATCACTGCAGTAATAAAGGAGCTTTTTTTCGCGCCGTTGGAGATCGACGATAACTTAAAAAATATTTAATTTTTCTCTTCAAAAATTTTACTATGTATTCTTAAAACATGTATAAAAATATTCTTAAAATTTTGAAATGATTGATAATGTATTTTATTTAATATAAATTCTCAAAAATCACCTTTTTTAGGCGGTTACACTAATTGTGCCCCTTAAGTGAAATCAAAGAAACATCAGAAAGTTGCACTTATGATAATTGTTATTTCACTGAATGATAAATTTGATAAAATTGTTTTAATAACATTTCTATTTTATCCGAGAATTAACCCCACTATCACCTATCTATATTTGCGATTGACTATATAATATTTTTCTATAACATTTCTAATTAGCCCCACTATCTCCTGTCTATATTTAGGCTTGACAATATAACCCTCTATTTCCAGGAGCGCCTTCTAAAAAAACTAGGCCCAAACGCAGTGCCCTTTACTCTACAGATACCAACGGGTGCTCCTGCTTCGATCACCCTTCAGCCTGCTCCAGGGGATACGGGAGCACCCTGTGGTGTACATTATTATGTGAAAATATTTGCTGGGGAAAAGTGACACTGACAGGGCACACCGCAGGTAAAGAGGAAAATTAATATATATTATATATATATATATATATTATATTATATATATATATATATATATATATTAGGGTGGTCCTTAAAATGGTCATGTTCGAATTTACTTGCTCCCAGGGGCTCAAATGATTCCAAATAGATAAAAAACAATTCTCTGAAAGTTTTAGCTCTTAATATTAACGTTTAGATAGAGCGCAATTCAATCAAAGTTTTGCATGGAAAAATTTTCAAAAATTTAAAAAATGTTTTTAGATGTAACTTATTGTTAGTGAAAATTCGTGTCATTTTTTATTGAAAATTTGACGCTCTGCAAAACAGGTTTTTTATAATTTGTTTTGTAGAGCGTCGAATTTTGAATAAAACTCATTCATTTGTTCGCTAAATTATATCTAAAAAATATTTTTAAAAGTTTTGAAAATTTTTTCATGCTATTTCCATATAAAACTTTGATTTTTAACTTAATAATGTGTTTTGAGAAAATTGTCTTTTGTCGTATATGCATTTTCTCAGTTTTTTGTAAATTTAGCATTTAATTTGTACTAACACATATAAAATATTGTATTTTTTTGAAAAGCTGATAAAATTAGGCCTAAATCGGTATACTTGAATTTATACGTTTTAATATAAAATATCAGACAAAAAACGGTTTGAAATTTAATAATGTGTTTTAAGAACATTTTCGTTCCTTGGTTGGTTTTTTCAATTTTTCTTTCAGTTTTCCTTTCAGTTTTTTGTAAATTTACATATGAATTTATACTAAAGTACACAAGATATTATATTTTTTGAAATACTGATAAAATTTACAACAAACTGGTATATTTCAATTTTCAGTAGTTAAAGTAAAATTTTTGGCAAAATGCGCTTGAAATTTTAATTATGTGTTTTGAAAAATATTGCTTTCGATGTTTGTGGTGCATTAAAATTTCTATTTTCTGACTTATTAAAATATTGTAATTAATTTTATTGTAACAATTTTATGTGGTTTTAAACTAAATATAATTAAAAAAAAACTATTTAGCAAATTGCTATATTACATATAGTAAAAAAAATGCACCAGCTGCATTATTATCTGTTTGTCTCAAATTTAAAAGTTATATATTGTTTGGCTTGTAATTAGGAGACAATATTAAAAGACAATATTAAAAGCTAGAACTTTCAGAGAATTGTTTTTATCAATTTGGAACCATTTGAGCCCTTGGTAGCAAGGAGATTCTAAAATGTCCATATTAAGGACCACCCTAATATATATTTATATATATATATATAATATATATATATATATATATTACTATTTGCAGAAATACTGTAACTCTAAACATTCGCAAAGTCCAATTCGCTCCTTCCAAAAAAGGGCAACAGCCTTGCACAGTAGTTCGCAAAGACTTTATGCTAAGTCCAGGAGAATTGGAGCTGGAAGTCTCATTGGATAAACAGGTTTATAAATAATCTATCTACTTATCGTTTTTTCAGATATATCTATAAACTTATTAATGTATATTTTAGTTATATCACCATGGTGAAAAAATAGTGGTAAGTATATGCATTCGTAATAACACTAATAAAGTGGTGAAGAAGATCAAGGCGTCTGTTCAACAAGGGGTTGATGTCGTTTTGTTCCAAAATGGAATGTACAGGACTCCTGTTGCGAGCATGGAGACACAGTAAGTGGAATTATATATATATATATATATATGCATTCAACCCTACAGATTTTTCTGTACTTATATAATTTCCACCCTCCTGCCTAAAATCCCATATTTAGTCATAGTCATTTTAGTAATACAATCATTTGTCATAACGTTTGATAATTTACAAACTAGTTGAAAGTAGCATTTTTCCTTAAGGCATTAATCACGTGAGATTTTTAGAAGAAGAGGTTTGACAAAATATCACGTGGGGGAGGGAGGGGTATAGTAAGATATCATGTGTTTTTATTTTTTACATGATTTTTTTTTTCAAAAAAATCCAAAGATTTTCGAATAAAATAAAATGTTTTACAATTTTTGCTTGTGATTAAAAATACGCAAGATGATTAATGGAGAAGGGAGGGTAATTTTGAATACCTCACCAAGAGGGAGGAGGGGTCCAAAAATCCTTAATAAATCGATCACGTGATTAATGGACCCCTAATGTGACTAATGCATGAACTTTCCGAAATGTGTAATAATTGACTTAATCAACCGAAATTGAATTTAGATATTTAGACGAAATTTTCAACTGATATTATTTATTAGTGATTTAAATTGATGGTAACATTTTTTACACAACTAGATAAGTTTTGTAGACTTATTTTTCCACTGATTCCAAAAAAATGGTTTTTAAATTTGTGATATTCAAATTTTGACTCATCACATTACAAAAGTGACTTTGACACAAATTTTGACTATAATATGTTTTCAAACTTTGATGAATTTTTAAAATTAAACTACTTGCCGTAGGGTCGTAAGATTTTAGTGGTTCTTTAGTATCATGATACAAAATTTCATAAAAAAAATTCTTACAGGTAATTACGAAGAAACGGCTCGGCCGATCTTTGTCCAAAATTAATCAGCGCGATTCCCAAATGATATCTTTTGAATTGTTTTTGAATTTCTAAAGTCGAGTCAAAATTTTTGGCTAAAACGTGGACGAAAAGTTTTACACTTTTTTTGCAAATCACAAAGAAACGGCTCTGTTGATCGTCGCACAAAACTGAGAAACGATAGTCCTCATCAAGATACATACAATGGCTTTTAAATTTTTAAAATCGGTTCAGACGTTTTTAAGAAAACGTTAATAAAAGGTCTAATTTTGACAAACGCGAAAAAACGATACTAATTTTTGCAAACTTTGACGATTTTTGTAAAATTAACGACTTATCGTTGGGCCGTAATATTTTAGTATGATCTAGAAGACCATGATATACAGCAAACAAATTCATGAAAATCGTCAAAAAATTCTTTTTCAAGAGTTAATTGCAAGCAATTGTGCCAGCGAATCTTTACCAACCAATCTTTCGAAAGGATTTTGAATATTCAAAATCGATTCAGAATTGCGGGCTAAAACGTGGACGTAAAATTTCTCACTTTTCTGCTATTTACAAAGAAACGGCTCGGCCGATCGTCGCACAAAACTGACAAACAATAGTCCTCATCGAGATACATCGAATGGCTTTTAAATTTTTGAAATCGGTCGAGTCGTCTTTGAGAAAACGTCGATTTGAGGTAAAAAATCTGTTCACACATACACACACATACGTTTTCCTTAAATTTGTTCTCATTCGATTCAGAATGGCTTGAAACGTCGAGAAAACATAAAATTAGCGAATCGGATTTTTTGATAAAAACATAAACTTCTTTCGGAAAGTTAATAAATATACATAAGGCCCTAAAATTGCACCCTCCTAATTTAAACATCTATTTAGTAATCGTCAATTCGGTAATTCAATTCCTTTTGAAATAATTCACACAGTTGCCGGGACAGCCAGTATATATATATATATATATATATATATATATATATATTGATGAGTTATTTAGAATCGGGCAGTAACACCAAGTAAAAATTTGGCATAATTTGGATAAATTAAGTATTTCAAAACTACTTTAGTTTTTTAACTTGGTGTTACTGTCCGATTCTAAATAACTCATCAAAATATATATCAACACCAAACTCACATATTTCAATATATATATATATATATATATATATATATATATATATTATTTTTTTAGGGAAGGTTGTCCGATACAACCAGGATCAAGCCTACAAAAAATAATCTATCTCCAACCGACATTGGAATCAAATAAGGAACGTCGAGGAATCGCCTTGGATGGCCAATTGAAGAAACAGGACACCAATTTGGCATCAACGACATTGTAAAATATTTCCAAAAATACAAACACAAAACCCTTTGATACATATTCATATATCTATTACCCATTTTAGGTTGAATTCGTTAGAAGACCGCGACGCCTTTGGCATAATCGTTTCTTATACTGTAAAAGTTAAATTGTTCATGGGGGCTCTTGCAGGTGAACTTGTGGCTGAATTGCCATTCACGCTGATGCACCCCCAGGTAAAAAAAATCTCAAAACTATAAATTATGTTAATTACAAAATTGTAATTAATTTTATCTGTATTTTTTACCATTAGCCTCAGAAGAATAAGTTCATTCGTGCAGACAGTCAAGCAGAAGTGGAACTTTTTCGCCAAGACACAATTGACCAGGATGGCAAAGATCCGATGTAAAGGGTAAAATGATTTATGGAAATTTGTAGAAAATTATTTATGAAACAAATAAGCATCGATTGTTTGCAAAAACATGATGCATAATGTACAATATGACTAATAAAGCATAATAGCAATTTGTAATAGATAATTTATAATAGATGAATTATTGACGGTTACAGTTTTATTTATGTTAGACCAAGATTTTTTAGTGCAAATTTCAGGAAAAATTTTGTGTAGAGGCACTGTACTTTATATAGTGCGACAACTTCAATCTTGACTCATTAAAAAAAACTAGTGGGGTGGGTGGCATCGTGCCTTAAGGCAAATTGCTGGAACTTCCCGTACCGTAACGAAACGTTCGAGGAATATTGAATGTTTTCAATAGATTATTATAAATATTGTAACATTGTCTAATATTTATAAGAATTATATAAACTGAATTGCAGAGTTGAAATTATTTGTTTAAAGTATATTAGAACTATAGTCAGAATTAAATATAAAATCTGAATTATTTTCGATATACCAAAAATAAAAAAAATAAAAAAAAAATTGAAACAAAAATTTTTTTTCCAAAATCAATTATTTTGTTAAGACAAGCAGAAAGTTCTTTGAATCACTCAAATTGGACGCTTAGTTCTCTCAAAAACTGCCAGTTTTTGTACATTTAGCTGCGTATCTTCGAAATGGCTGGGCCTACCTTTGCGAAAAACTAATAACCACTTCTCCCAATTATTACTAATTGAATGTTTTTTCATTCAAATTCATTCAAATATATATATATATATATATATATATATATATATATATATATATATGTGTGTGTGTGTGTGTGTGTGTAGTTAATAAATGAGTTTAAATTTTCATAATCTTTTTTCCTCAGACGTTATAAGTTTGTTTATTAAAATCAATTTTTAATCAAATTAAATTGCGCCATTTTTGAGTTTAATGCGACCTCAAATTAAGGTCAAAATTAAGTGCACATAAAATTAATTTTATCTTTCCAGATCGTTTCACAGACTTTGTAAAAGAGTACTTATTCATAAAAACGTATAAGATAGTTATCAACATTTTTTCTTAAAATAATTATGCAAGCTATTATGTATTTAACTAGGTGTGAGAGGCATATTGCCTTAGTGCAAATTGCAAGAACTTCCTGATATATAAACATATGCATATATAACAATTAACATCTTAACTCGTATCAAATATTTGACCTTTACAATTACTTTGAACGTTTACTTTTTGATAACACATAAAACTAAATATTATAAACATATTGTTACGGTTTATTTATTAATTAAACGTAAATTAACATATCCACACAATCATCACATTTAAAATTATTGTAAACGAAACGTCAAATCAAATAAAAAATGGCGGACATTAACACCAACTTCATAAATATAAGTTTTAAATATTACCGATCGCTTTAAAAATATTAATATTTTTAATTAGTTATATTTAGATTGTTTACACATATGTTCTCATATTAATTATTTATATTATATTAATATAATATGAATATATAAAAAAAATGATTAGCGTTTGCTTGCAAAAATATGCAGAATGTTGGTACCCCTGCAAACGCAACTGTGAAGAATGCGTTAAACCGAATTGACATCAAAATGTCGGACGTGATTAAATTGTCGCAGTTAAATTTAATTTAATATTTAATAATAATGATAATATGTTTGTGGACCTATATATTTTTGTCTTACTTTTATAATTATTAATTCATAGTTTTGTATTTAATATTTTTGTTGTGAATATTAACACAAATGCGGCTTATTGCAAAGTGAGTGTAGTTTTGAAGAATTGTTTCGGTGTCTAAGCTAAAGGTAGGAATTTTATAAAATTTACTTTAAATTCATTTATTTAATAGCTTTATTGACTTTAATATTAAAACATTGTGCCCGTTAGAAACTAAGTATAAGAATTATGTTGTAAAAGCTGTCTGATTGGTATATATATATGTATTCGACTTAATTGCTAATAATTGATATTTAATAACACCTGAATCTGGGAATAATTTTAAAATTTCTTCTTAAAATTCTTAAAATCTTTCAACACTTTCAACAATTAATTACAAAAAAATGGCGCTACCAATCTTGAGCAAAAACTAGCTAGAGCTATTCCCAACCGATATCTCTCAAAGAATTTTTTGAATCTACTTAAGTTTTGGCTAAAACTAAATAAATCTAATCATCAAGGTCTATAACCTTTGTGTTTATCTATATAGAACTTAATGTAATAAGAAGTTTATTTATTGGACAAAAAATTTTTTTTTTTTGAAAAAAAAATTTTTCTTTATTTTGACATATTTTGGAAGATCTAAACTTTTTTTCAAAGCAATCGTACTGCTTTAACTGCATAGAGACAAAATGTCAAAGCGCGTAAGCGCCGCGTCGCCGTCTAACGAATAAGCATTGGTACGGAACCCATAAAAATGTAAACCAAATTCATACTTATTGTTAAAATCTCTATAAAATATCTGATAATTTGATGTGCATATGTCTAATGATCATTTTTGACCGCCAGATGGCATTTTTTTTTTACTTTTTTCGTTAGATCTCCGAAAATGCTAGACCTGCCCTCATGAAAATTTGATCAATTCTTCATCTTGTCAATATAAGTAAAATGTTTTTTGAATTATTAAAATCGGACGCTCCGTTCTCCTAAAAATTGAGTTACCGTTTTCAGCACTTTTTGCCCCGTATCTTTGGAACGGCTGGACCTGCCTTCGCCAAAAACTAATCAGCACGTCTCCTTATCAATACGAATCGAATGCTTTTTGAATTATTCAAATCGGTTGATCCGTGTTCCCGAAATCGTCGACGAAAATTTGTATCGGCACATACATACACACACGTACATACACACACACACACACATACATCCATCTTTTCTAAGGTATGCCAAAATGTTCAGAAACCTCTGAAACGTAAAGACATATAAAAATCTTCATTTTCGATTTTTTTGCGATTACTATAGCTTGCCCTAGGGGAAGTTAAAAATATTTCTATTAAACATTTATAAATCTATTAACAAACCTCATTGTGAACCAAATTCCAATATCATCGATATATTTACAATTACTTGTCCCTGTTTTGTATCATATCGAAATAAGCATGAGTCAACAAATCGCTTTCCTTTATACCAAGTTGCAACATAATTTCATCCGCAATCCCCTCACAATCCTTCACACTCTGCGTCTCATTCAAAACAACTTCCAATTCCACAAAATCACCCAAACCTTCAACAGCATCGATATGAACCCTCGTTTGTCCAATCAAGAACAAAATTCTAGTCTTTTTAACTTCACCAATAAGTCCTAAGCTAGAAGAAAGAATTGCTTTCAAGGCTTCGGTCTGTTGTTTACAGTTTTGGCCCTCGATGTTGAACTTAGTGTATTCTGATAATTTAGGACCAGATATGTCTGGACGATTGTAATGGACGAGTGTAGATGTTTCATCGGGGAATATTCTTAGTTTTAAACGTCCATTTGGGACTTTGTAGAAGATATCGTGTTGGGGTATCAATTCACCTTGGGTGTTTGTTATAGAATTGAGTTTTGATAAAACTTCTATTTTATTTGGTAGTTTAGCTTTGATTTCTATATTGCGATCCATTGTTAAAGACTTTGGTATCGAAATAGAATTGCTAATAAATATTGGTATATATTTATAGTAATAATGTCATAAATTCGTTCCTCAATGTTTTTAGGATAATATGATATGCACTAAAGTATGTATACACAAACAATTTAATAAAAAAAATTAATTATAATTAAATAATACAATTAAAATAAAATTAACAATTCTGATACCGGTGTAAATAACAACACTTAACCTCAAACTGTCAAATTTAAACTGACAGTTTGCCGAATTGTTAAAACCGCCAAATTTGAATTTGAAATAATAGGTTGTCAAATATCTTCCTTCCGCTTTTTTGCTCTTGGTTTATAATACAAAAAGGCGGAAGAGAGATATTTGACAACCTAATATTTGAGAAAAAACTATTAAATATTAAAATTATATATCAGATTATTGTTAGTTTTTTTGCTTGTGGGTTCTTTGTAATTAACAAGTTAGTAAATTTTATTTTAAAAATAAATCTTTTTTGTTAAGTAGGTTTAATATAAACACACAATGTTGGTAGGTTTTTTAATATTTGTTTAAAATGTGCAAAAACTTGTTTAAATATATAAATTTTATTTTATATAATCAGAAAGCTTATAAAATTCTGTATATAACTGCGCTTACGAATTTTAACTTTTGGAACAAAAACATTGCAGAAAAAATAGTCAAACTTTAAAATCGTTTACTTTTGCAAGCAAAGAGTTTATGCGTTTTCTTGATATTTAAAAGTTTAAAATGTACAAAAACTTGTTTAAAAACATATTTATTACTTTATATAGATAAAAAGCTTATAAAATTCTCAACATAACTGCATTTAACAATTTTTCAACTTTTGGAACAAAAACATTGCAAAAATATTTGTCAAACTTTAAAATCGTATAACTTTGCAAAGGGAATGTTGGTGCGTTTTTTGACAATTGTTTAAAATGTGTAAAAACTTGTTAAAACACAAATCTTTCATTTTATATCGTTACAAAGCTTATATAATTCTCTATACAACTGCATTTACTTATTATCAACTTTTGGAACAAAAACATTGCGAAAAAAATCGTCAAACTTTTAAATGCGCACAAAATGTTGGCACGTAGTAAAAAAGTAGATTTTTTATTCTTGATTTAATGCGATTATAAGTAGACAGAGTTGCTGTAGGGCCTCATAATATTAGACAAAATTGAAGATTAGTCAATTTTGTATAAATTTATCAAAGATACTACTTGTATTTGACAAACAGTTTGAATGTTATAAATTATTTAGCAAAAAACGAGCACATCTCAAGCGCGTCTTTTATAGTATACCAAACTTTAATAAATTTTCCTAAATAAACTGCTTTTTGTAGGCCTATAATATTTTAGCACGTTTGTTCAAAACCTAAATTCTATCAGTATACAAAATTTTATTAATTACAAAAAAACTGCTCGGCCCATCTGTACCAAAAACTAATCAGCACGATTCCCAACTGATATCTTTCTTTCTGAATTTTCAAAATCGGTACAGGATTTTCGTCTAATAAATTTATTCAAAAATTTTACCAAAGTTTACTTACTTTTTCCATAATTTTCAATCAAAATCCCCGTCTAAAAAGTCCTGCAAGTCTCGTCAAAGCTTCAGCAGCCTCAATTTCTTCCCTATGATGAGACAAGGATAAATCTTCCTTGGAATTCGTTTGATTCTGATTGGAATTTGCAACAATCCATTTATTATACTGTCTTGAATTGGTTTCTTTTGAAGGACTTCTTGAAGATTTTGGGACGTCCCAGGCGGAACAATCGCGTCTTGTTTGGGGCCTAAAATTTGCTGCACTTTCTAACCACCTGAGGTAAAGGACACAAAATATATAGAAGGATTTAAATTGCTTGAAAAGATTAATTTGTCAAAATTATTTAAGGAATTTTTATAGTACCTTGCAAGCAAAGGAGTTTTGTTTTCAGGTTCATCCAATCTTTCAAGACCATCCAAGTATCGTCTCATCATCCTTCTTTTATACCTGCAAGAAAATTATTATTATTTCGAATATTAATATTGTATTTTTTTTGCTAAATTTTACCCATGGGCGTCCTCGTTCCTATTATTAGCCTCTCGTCCAGGTTCTGCCCAAATGCTATCATCAGAACTGATACTAAATTGCTCCAAATTACCATTTGCTTGAGAATTGTAGCTTTTAATTAAATTGGACCAACTACGTCTCTGTGGTTCCCCACCTGAATTCTTTAGTTTTCTTCTCCAGTTTGCGAACCAATTACAAATCTAACAAATAATAGATAATCAATTATATTCAATAAAATTAATTTATTTTGAATATTATAAGTGAATGCTACTGTTTGCAGTCAATTTTTGTCATATTGTAGATATAAATATTTATGAACAAGACGTATTGAATATGAGCTTACATGTACAAAATTAAGTATTTTATAAAGCAATTTTTATAATTTTAATACAAAATGTATTATTGAAATACATGAAATGTATATAATAAGATAATTTGGTTGTGTGTTGTATGTAGTAATTTAAATGGGTGTTTTCAAATATAAAACTTTCAAACTTTTCAAATATAAAAATTAATTGTTAATGTTAATTTATTACCTGTATATATGTAAGGCCAGTTTTAAAAGCCATTTCTTTTTTCTCTTCCCGATTTGGATAAGGGTTGTCCCTTCTTCTAACGAGCCAGTCTTTGAGGAATTTTTTGATTTCAGGGGTGAAAAGTCTTTTAATGACTCTTCTTTCATCATTTAAGGATCTTCGTCTACCAAAAATAAAAGGACAAAAAAATATTCTATATATCTATTATATTTAAAATGTTAATTTGCAACAAAATGGTCGAAATAAAACGCAATATTTAATTAACTCTTTGTTAAGTACGTTTCGACAATGTATGTTTATCATCATTCAGCACGTTAACAAATTCTAAAAAATATTTTGCAATGTTTAAAAAAATCCTTCAAGATTACTAGAAGATATGACAAATAAAAATATAGATACATACCTAACAAGAAAAAAACACAACATAAAATTTTTAAAGACATTGCTTAATTGAAAAATAATATATTAAAAGTTTAAATAATAACAAAATTATGTAGTTAATCCCACGACTGACAAATTTCAAATGGACATCAAAATGCCAAAGCACGCCTTATATATAAAGGGGTTCACAAAACCTGATGCAGGATCAGGATTCTGAAAATTGCTAGATTTTGAAAGAAAAGTGATACAAGGATGGGAAAATAGCCAAAAAATTAAACAAAAATAATAAATAATTAATAAAATATAACTAAACTAGTACCAAATTGTAAAAATGGACGGTGAAATGCAAAATTACGCCATTTGAATTAAAAGGGTTTACAAAACTTGATGCAGGATCAGGATTCTGGGAATTGCTGGAATTTTGAAGAAAAGTGATATAATAATGAGAAAATAACCGAAAATTTAACAAAAATAATAAATAATTATTATAATACAACTAAACTAGTACCAAATTGTAGAAATGGACGATGAAATGCAAAATTACGCCATTTGAATCAAAGGGGTTCACAAAACTTGATGCAGGGCAGGATGAAAATTGCTAGATTTTGAAAGAAAAGTGATATAAGGATGAAAAAATAACGGAAAATTAAACAAAAATAATGGATTATAAATAAAATGCAACAAAACTAATTGTTTTTGCCATTATAGATGATGAAATGCTAAAGTACGCCATTTGAATTAAAAGGGTTCACAAAACTTGATGCAGGATCAGGATTCTGACAGTTGCTAGAATTTGGAAGAAAAAAGATACAAAGATGGGATAATAACGGAAAATTAAACAAAAATAATAAATATAGAATGAAATGCAACAAAACTAGTTGTTTTTTATATCCTTGTATCAATTTTCTATGAAACGCAAAATTACGCCATTTGAATTAAAAGGGTTCACAAAACTTGATGCAGGACCAAGATTCTGGGAATTGCTAGAATTTCGAAAAAAAATGATATAAAGATGATAAAATAATCGAAAATTAAACCGAAATATTAAATAATAAATAAAATACAACAAAATTAGTTGTTTTTGCTATCTTTGTATCAATTTTCTATGAAACGCAAAATTATGCCATTTGAATTAAAGGGGTACACAAAACTTGATGCAGGATCAGGATTCTGGTAATTGCTAGAATTTAAAAGAAAAGAGATACAAAGATGGGAAAATAACCGAAAATTAAATAAAATTAATAAATAATTCATAAAATGCAACAAAACTAGCTGTTTTTACTATCCTTGTATTACTTTTCTTTCAAATTGCGAAATTACGCCCTTTTGAATTAAAAGGGTTCACAAAACTTGATGCAGGATCTGTATTCTGGTAATTGCTAGATTTTGAAAAGTGCTACAAGAATGTAAAAATAACGAAAAATTAAACAAAAATAATAAATAATTAATAAAATACAAATAAACTAGTACCAAATTGTAGAAATGGACGATGAAATGCAAATTTACGCCATATATATAACAAAAGGGTTCAAAAAAGATACACGGATTGGAAAATAACCGAAAATTAAATAATAATAATGGATAATAAACAAAATGCAACAAAAACTAGTTGTTTTTGCTGACCTTGTATCATTTTTCTTCCAAATTGTAAAAATTCTTAGAACTCGATCCTGGATCCAGTTATGTAAACCCTTTCGTATATACGTGTATATATATATATATATATATATATATATATATATATATGATAAAAATTGTTTCTTGGGCATCCATCCAATAATTAAAAAAACAGTTTTAATGCAAAATGTTTTAATTAAGAGAACATACGTTTCGGGTCCAGATTTGACCCATCTTCAGTGCATACAAATAAATTTTAAAAAAATATAACACAAAGAACAACACAAAAATGCAACGAAAAAATAAGTATGAAATAAAAAATTGAAAAAACATCAAGTTATGAAAATTTTGAAAATTGTAAAAATTAAAATAAATAATATGTTTTATTGTAAAAAAGCTTATTTAAAACAAAT